TTGGGGTGGGGTGGGGCTTGCCTAGCTTGCCACCAGCTTGTGTGTGTCCCCATTCTCGCTCGTCTGCCTTCATGGTGAGGGCTGCCCTAGAGCCTGGGTTCCTTGGGAGGGAGCAGCAGTTCCTGGTCACCTTGGAGGAGCTGGGGTGTCCTGAGATTCCACCGTGGCCCTGGGATTAGGGCGGCTCTTCCTCAGGGCAGGGTGTTGATGTTTGAAAACATTCTGGAGCTGGACTAGAACAAAACGCCCACCTCCCCACCATCCCCCCTTTGAGAGATGCAGAGGTAGTGCCTGAAACGTGGCCAGCTTTTATAGCATTCCAAGGGAGGCTGCAGGTTGGAAAGCAGGAGCTGTGTCCAGTCATCTTGAGCCCTGCATATAGGTGTCTTGGGATGTGCTGGAGGGGAGTAAGATGCCTGGGAGGCCTTTAATTGCTTTCCGATGTGGAGACTCTTTCAAATGGATGAGTGCCCACTAACTTTCACTTTTTCTGGTGACAGAGCTGCTAGGGACCCATAGTTGATGTTTTGAATGGATTTAAACATTGCTATCACAAAGTGCAATTTTAAAAGGAAAATGAGATGTAATATACTGTTTGTGGCTGTGTCTTAGAAGCCTCAGCTCTCTGGAACAAAGCTAAATTCAGAAGCTTAAAGGGCCTGTGAGTTGTGTAAACACTGTCATGAAGCCCCTGCTCTAAACCCTGTGACCTTTACTCCACAGAAAGAGGTCTCAGGCCCTGAGCACAGCCAACTCACCTCGTTTTGTCACATTCACAGACTCACTAAGCAAACGCTTCTCACGCCGGGCCCTGGGCTGGGCTTTGAGGGTACTGAGAAAATACATCACAGTCCCCACAGTCCCTCCTAATTAGGTTATTGTCAAGTGAGGGGAGACAGAACAGACCATCTACTAAGGCCCATAATAGTGGCAGACACAAGAGGTGGGAGGATGTCCCTTGATGAGTACCAAACCCAGATGGAGGGAGGGAGACAGGGAAGAGCAGCAAGTGTGTCCCTTCTGCTGAGTTTCTAATCCTCATAGATGCAGTCATTTGAACTCCTAATTCATAGCATCTTAAAAGCAGCACATTAAAAGGGGGCAAGGACAAAGTTACTTCTTAGGAAAGAGGGAGTGCTCATATCCTGAGAGAGAGAAGAAACATTATAAGCCAATCTGAAATGGAAATGAAAGCGCAGAAATTTGGGAGCATTTAGCTAGATAGGCAAATAGCCCTAAACACGAACTTCTAAGAAATTCTATATTACTGATTTTTATGATGACTCTGATTCATCCCCCAAAAGGTTGAATTTATATTCAGTGTTCTGTGAAGGTAGTAAAGGACATACTTTTAGAAAGCTTTCCATCAAAAAGTTTAAAAGACAGCTTTCTGAAAGTGCCCTTTTTGTGCAGAAATATCTCATTCCTTGCCTGATGGTGCTGGATAAATGAGGCATTGCTCAGTTAGACTCTCTGCCTAGCTCTTTCAGTATCAAAAACATATCATCTGGAAAAAGCTTCAGTGACATAAAGGGAAGAGTTTTGCTAAGAGGAGAAGTCCCCAAAGAATTATCTCAATTTGAAAATGATTTCTTCCTAGGAAGCGAGGCAAGGGTCAGCCCCTTGGAGAGTAGACAAGCTTATGGCCCCTCACTTTGGCAAAGGACTGTGACACAGAGTGAAGACTCCCCTACCTCTACCCGCTAGGGTCCCAAGTCCTGCCTGGGAAATTCAACACCTGCCTGGTGTTGTTGGTTCACCAGGATTAATTCCCCGTCCTCGCTTCCCACGCTGCGCCCCCTACCCTTGCAGGAGCCAGCATTTTTTGTGGATTGTTGCTGTGGTCAGTGTGTTCTGTGACTGTGTGTATGGTTGTATGTACACGTAATTTGCCAGTTTGAAGAGCAGAATTTGGCTGGAGTTCTACTTTTTCTAGGACTGACCTACATGTATTTCCCTTTCACCTACCTGTGAGGCAATAAGCAATTTGCCGAGTGCATTCCAGTGTGCCAGGCCTTCCGTTTGGGGCTGACTTTACCAAGATAAAGAAGACAGTGGTCCCTGTCCTCTACTGTGCCGCCAAAGGGAGCAGGGGAATGAGAGGGGGCAGGTCTGCAGCCCAGGCTCAGCCTTCAGCTCAAGGCGTGGACAGGGCTTCTCCCTTGACCTTTAGATTTGGGCACATGGTCGGCTTGAGTTTTGAGGGGAATGTTTGCTAATATATCTCTGCTTCTGATTCACACTCACAAGCTTAATGGAGTAGGGAGAAAGTGAGGGCCATTTCTCCAGCAGCTGTGTGTCCCTCCATACTGGGACCCTCTGCATAGTGACTCTGCTATGGCTAGCTCCATCCTCCATTTCTCTGGTCAGATCTACAAAATGGAGTTCAGCCAGACGGCCTCCCCTACAAGGGGCACGTTTGACCTGGCCATCCCTGACCATGGTTTGGCCATGGGGGTACATCTGTGAAAATGGTTCCCCTGCCCCTGCACAGTTTTTGACGAAGAAGGAGATTTGGAGGAAATGAAAACATGGACTAAAAGAGTTGGTGTTTAACTTCGTAGGTGTCCGTGAGAGATGGGCAACGTATCGCCCACGCTGGGTCTAGGGAAAGATGGCAAATGTTGTGAAATTCCACTGGCTTCTGAGTTTGGGTGATTTTTGTCTACTGCTTTGTGGTTTCCTTTCTTGAGAGGACAGGGTAGCTTGTAACTTGTATTGCAAGTACAGCTATTCAGGGATCAGTTGAAAACCTCAGCCAGGAACAATCCAGGTTTCTTCTCTTGGCCACATCCTCTTCCCAAATAGCAGAAGAGTGAGGAAGGCTGATCTCAGTCATGGGGAGGTGGGCTGTTCAGACTTCCTTGAAGTAAGGCTCAACGATGCCCAAGGGATTTGCTAGTTCTTCTTGTTCCACCCATCCTATGGCCCTGGGCCGGGTCGTGGACTTCTGTTAATTATGTTTGACCCCAGGTTTAGTAGCAAAACTCTCTTATCCAGTGGCGAATCTTCCAAGATTCATACTGAACTCACTTGGGGCAAATTTAAGCCTTTACAGTTGATGATACTGTAACTTGAAAGTCTGTGTTTTCTTCAGTTTGAGAAATTTACAAGTACTACTAAAAGATCTCAAAAAGGTTTTCTTTTTTCCCTGAAATGAAATAAGCATAAAAATAAAGTAGGTATTGCCCAAGTTTTTGCCCTTTCCATGCTGTGGCCCTACCTGCCACTGACGAGACTTCCACATCTGTCCGTTGTAGGGGTAACTTTCCTTCTTGACTTCTGATTCCGAACCCCGTGGTTAAACCTCCTTTAAATTGTTCACCTCCCAGATGACAGGCCGGGATCTTCTCAAGGACCGAAGTCTGAAGCCAGTGAAGATTGCCGAGAGTGACATTGACGTGAGTGAGCAGAGTGACAGGCTGACCCCTCACCTGCCTGCTGCCTCCAGACCCAGGGTGGGCAGCTTCAGGCAGGGTTTGGATGGATCTGTAGCCAAAGGCTTTTGGATCATGCTCCAAGGCCACGGCCCTTTCTCATCATCCCAGGCCCTCTCCAACCTGTTCTTGTTCACAGGTTAAACTGAGCGTCTTCTGTGAACAAGACAGGATCCTCCAGGACTTGGAAGACAAGATACGAGCCCTTAAGGAGAACAAAGTATGTATCGGTTTTGCATAGTCTTGGGCTGGGTGGCAGGGGTTTTGTCATCCTGTGTTTCCTCAGTGTAGACTGGACTCTCATGTTAGTACTGGACAACAGATGTCTGTTAGTTTATCCAGAACAATGTCTTTGAATTTAAAGGGTATTTCTTGTGGGGTTTCTGTCTGAACCCAGAGGAGACCTTACAGGGAGACCTCAGCCTACTTATTCCAAGTACTACCTCCCTGACCTTAATTCTGCTCTGGGCCACCCCCACCTCTCCCTGGAAGCCCTGTGAGGTGAGCCTGGGAGAGGACGGCTCCACTGGCTTGCAGTGATGACCCCAGGCTCCTGAACCCCAGGGAAGCGGGGGCTGCCTTGGAGAAAGTGGCCAGAGTCGTAGCAGGGCAGAGGCTCTCACTTCCTAAAGCTCCTTTCCTCTAAGGATCCGGGCCATAGGGGAAACAAGTCTGGTTGGAAGGGAAGGAATAGGCTGGTAGCCACTGATGTTTGGTCTCTTAGACACTTCGTGTGAATTTTTTCTTTTCCACATTTTAACAAGGCATTATATTTGTGATGCCCAAGGTTTATAAATAACATGGCCTTTTTATTCAAGTGCTTAGAGGGTTTTCCATCTGTTCTTTTGATTTAGCCTCATAGTTTATCCCCTAAGGAGCGGATGGCCTAATGCCCAGTTTATAGGTGAGGAAACAGGCACAGAGCTGTTAGGTGATTTGTCCCAGGAGGCCACCCAATGGGCAGAGTCAGAGCTGGAATCAGAGGCCTTGACTCTCAGGCCCCTAGCTGGGCGCTGGCCCCTTCAACCTCGGTTAGATCCGGCAGGTTTGCTTAGTTCCTGGCGTGGCGGGGCAGGGTTGGAGGGGACGGCCTCCCGGGAATGTTCTGCCATTCTCTTGCTCTTTGGCCCCGGTCTGTCTGGTGCAGGATCAGCTGGAATCCGTGCTGGAGGTGTTGCACAGACAGATGGAGCAGTACCGAGACCAGCCCCAGCACCTGGAGAAGATTGCCTACCAGCAGAGGCTGCTGCAGGAGGACCTTGTCCACATCCGGGCAGAGCTCTCCAGAGAGTCCACTGTGTGTGGAGGGTGGCAGACGCTCCCCTGCCCTCCCCAGCATGGGCTGGCCAGGGGGCTGCTTTTCTCACCTCCCAAGCTGTAGTGGAGTTGGTGGCCGGGGGCGAGAGTCTTGGCATAGGAGAACGCCTCCAGGCTGCCTCCTAACAGTAGCTTACCTTGTCTCTACCGGTGCCTTAAGGTGCTTTCTGTCAGTGACTCCTGGGTAGCTACAGTGCCACCCAAGTGGTCAGATGTTTGAGAGCAGCCTGCAAGGCTGTTCCCCTGATCTGTGCACAGTTAACTCTGAGACGTCAGAATTTCTGCTCTTTTATTTGTCTGTCTGATGTGGTACAGGCCCTTTCTGCCAGAGCTGGGACAAAGCATCCCCAAGGGTGGGAGAGGGGACGGTGCAGGTGGCCTGTCTCTCTCCCCAGGCCTGCCTGAGACCCACCAGGCTCCCCTTCCCTCTTCCCCTGTCGGGTCAGCAGTGGTCAGGAGCACAGGTGCTCATGGGGCCTTCTGAGGGGTGGGTGTGGCATAAGGAAGAATCAGAAGCATTTCCTTGGCCAACAGGAGATGGAAAATGCCTGGAATGAATACCTGAAGTTAGAGAGAGATGTGGAGCAGCTGAAGCAGACCCTGCAGGAGCAACACAGAAGAGCCTTTTTTTTCCAGGTGACCCAAGGGTTCTTCATCCCTTCTGAGCTCTGATTTCTTCTTGGAGTCTTCACCTGTGGGGGATGTTAGCCCTACCCAGGGGCCTTCTCTTTTTGCACCTGGACTCAGCCTGCTCACCATCCCAAGCGCTCCCTTGGGGAACCCTTGCCCCAGCCAGGCTGTCGTGAGAAGCCTCGCCTCAGCTCCCTCTGCCTCTCTGCTCTCAAAGACAAGCTCCTGGGCATTTTTCTAAGGGTTTTACTACTGATCATTTGGGGAAACAGCCCCAAGGGGAGACGGTAGTGACCTAACCTTGCAGATACTTGAGGGTGATCTGTGTTCCTGGTTCTTGGCCCTGCCTTGGGTTCCTAGCTACTCACTTAGCAGCAGGAAGCCCCGCCTCCTTCCCTCCCGGACTCCTGAGGCTAGATGTTATCAAGCCTTCACCTGATCAGTAGTGTGTGAATTCAGGCCAGGTGGGGTGATACCCATTGCTGTGGCCCCTGCCTCACTCAAGAAAGGCAGCCTTAGAGCCCTGCCTTCTCTGCCCTAAAACCAGGCTGCCCCATTGATAGCTGCCTCTGCCTCCAAAGCTGAGAGGAAGAAAGGCCCTGTGTGGTTTTCCTTCTTCCAGGTTGGGTCCTCCAGCTGCCAGTGTTCCCCCATTGGGTGCCCAACCAGGCTTCTCCCCCACCCTCAAAGGTTTGAAAATGGAAAATAACCTGCTTTTGAACCTAACTTCAGATCTGTATCTCTTCTTTCAGGACCCTGACATAAATTCTCTTTATCTGAATTCAGCAAGCATTAACTGAGGGTTCTTGTGTACAAGGCAGCCTGTTGGGCCAGTCTGGGGGCCAGGCTTGCTAGTTGATGAGCTAGTTCTAGCCAAGCCTCTTCATTCAAGTGACTTAATGAATGTGTTGACTCTCTTCACATCAGCATCACCCCAGAAAACTGAAGGAATTCGGGAGGAGGTTTAGGTTTGTGGACTAGGAGGCTTTTCCCAGGCCCTGCTATGCTTCCACTCACCTCCACTCAGCGCTTTAGAGCTGGTCCCAGAGAGCCCAGTCTAGGAGCATGTGGAGGAAACTCTTTCCTGTAGTTCAGGGTTGGCCTGTGACGTCACGCAGAACTTCTGTCTCCTGTGGCTGTTGGGTTTTTCCCATAATTTCCCTTCATTTGAGCTAACATTTTCCTCTTCTTTTTGTATCCCCAGTATTTAGCATAGTGGCTTGAAAATAAATAGGTGAATATTGTTGGCAAAGTCCTTTAAACAATTGTTTCTAGTTACTAGTTCCTTGAACTGTTCCATCTCATTAGACTTATCTTCCTGGACTTCAACCATCCACATTAATTTCAGCCATAATTTTTTTTTTTTAGCTTTTCATTCCTTATGTTTCTTTAATTATACAGAAAACACATAAATGCGTCTCCCTGGAAAGTCCAAACAATGAGAAGCAAAACCAAAACAGGACACAAAAGCTCCTCCTCCCTCCTTCCCTTCTCTGCCCAGTCCCTCACCTTCCCAGCATGTAATCAGTGCCATCGGTTTGCAGTGTTGCCTTCCAGACCATTTTCTGTGCATTTCCAAACGTATGCATGTACATAGTATCATATAATTTATCTGGGGGAGGGAGTTGGCCTTACTTAAACAGGAATCATACTTACACATTGTTTGGTAACTTGCTTTTTTGTCATAACTTTATGTAATGGAAATCTTTCCAAGAAAGATACCCCTAAGTTTATGCTTCCCTGTATGGTAGCTATTTAAATTTAAACATAAATTAATTAAAATTAACTAAATTAAAAATATATTCCTTAGTCACACCAGAATTATTTCATGTGGCTAGTGGCTTTCTGTATTGGACAGCACAGATTATGGAAGATTTACATAATCTCAGAAATTGTATTAGACATTGTTGGTCTTGATGCTACAGATTTCATAGTGTGGATATCCCATACTTTATTTAGTCATTCCTCTTCTGATGGGCATTTAAGTTATTTGCAGTGTTTTGCTTTTATAAATGGTATCACAGTGAGCATCTATGTAACTGCCTTTAGAGCTTGTTTATGAGCATTTATCTAAGATAGGCTCCTAGGAGTGGACTTGTTGGGTTGACATGAGTGTACATCTTAAATGTTGGCAGATACCGCCAAATCACCCTCTAAAAGTCTGCAGTCATTTGCCCTCCCACCCATAGTGCATGAGAGTACTGAACCTGTTTACCTATATCCTTGCCAACACTTGATGTTATCAGTCTTCTTAGTTTTTGCCAGTCTGCATGCTGAAAAAGGACATCATGTTTTTATTTGCATTCATTTAACCACTAGTAGGTTAAACATCTTTTTTTTATGATTATTGGCTATTTTTATTTCTACTGTGCCTTATTTCGTGGTAATTTAACATACAGCAGGCCCAGAATCCTTTTTTCCCTCCAAAAAACAAATGGGTGCCATGTATAGGTCTTGTTACAGACTTCCTAGAGAACTTAGCCCTATAAGTTACTAGGAGATAGGCCAGTTTGAAGCCTGGTCCCTGCAGCTTGATTTCCACCTAGCCTAGTGGCATTGCTCATGCTTTCCCTGAGTGCCACAATGTCCTGGGAAGCTCACAAAGCCTTTCTTTGAGCAGGCTCTGTGCTAACTTCTTTGGTGTAATTCTAGGCCAGGCAAGCTGTTAGAGTCCTGAATAAATCATTGACGCTGGAGATAGGCTTGCAGCCCCATATGCAAATTCTCAGTAATGGGGCTTGGAAACTCACCCCTCTTTAGCCAGGGTTGGCTGTGAGAAAACCCATAGCCTTTTGAGTAAAGATGAGTAGGTTTATTTATGAAGATCCTCATGGCCACCCAAGCAGGGAAACCAGAGGATAAAAGAACTTCCAGGTAACCCTGAGAGTCAGTGAGAGGTGAGGCTACGTGTAGGTGTCCCTACTTCTGGACAGTGAGTTCAAGCCTTTGCTGAATGTAGTACATTGGAGCCTTCCTGCTCGGTGTGATGTGAGGATACAGGTATGAAACCCCACTCTCGTGTTCCCCAAAAGCTTCCTTGACCTTGTTGTTAAGTTCTGAAATTCCATCGTCCTTGGATTGAAGTTCTCTGGCCTTTGCTTCGCTCTGCTCTTCTCTTACACGTTGAGGTGACAGGCAAAATGGGGGCAGGATTGTGAACTGACAGGTAGCAGTACGCCAGGTCGACTGCCAGGGGAGGAAAGAGAGAGAGGGAGAGATGATCTTAACCCCATGCTCCTTCTTTACCTGTTCCCAAACACTCTGCTTGGAGACCTCAGCTCTAGAGATAATCCTGTTAGCTCAGAAACATGTCTGTTTTAGGACACTCGTTCTTTAGTGGGGAGCTGAGCATTAAGCCTGTTATTTGCTTATCAGCCCTGAGGATGTGCACTGGTGTTGGAAGGGTGGAGAGAGTATGAGAGTGTGAGCTCCCCTTAGGAGGGAGGCTTCAGACGTCTGTTGTTATGCCTGTTAGATAGTATTTGATCAGGGAATTTTTTGTGATTGGTCCTTTATTTATTCAGCGTACATGTACTGAGAACCTGCTCACTGCCCAGCCCTGTGAGGATGTATCCAGGAGCAGTGGTCCATAAATATCACACACGTGAGAACTCTTCCAATTGAGGCCGGCGATGTGCCTGGAAAGGAGATGGGGGTGTGGAGCCTTCCTTTTTAAGTCCATGGGGTGGGACCATGATAATTTTTTAAAAAAGAGTACCATATCTGATGTTTACACAACTCGATTAAAAGGTGCCCACGACCCTTTAATCACAGCAGACCCTGCTCACCTCTTTCTAGGGCCTCTTCCCTGGTGGTTTGGGTGTAGCTTCTCAGAGTTTGCGCATGGTTGTGTAGCCTGCCTCTTTTCCCATCGTACTTTTTTAAAAAAAATAACAGCTTTATCATGTAATTCACATACCATAAAATTCACTATTTTGAAGTATGTAATTCACTGATTTTTTTTTTTTTTTTTTTT